TGACACTCAACTCCTCACCTGAGCCTCCCAAACTGACTATACTCCTATTTTGTAACTACATATTCTTTCTTCCTCATAAATTATGATTTCTCAGACTAACAGCAATGTATATTATGGCAATTCATGGCCCCAAACTCTACTGTCCATGAAAAATGTCCACAGAGGCTAAAAGGAAAGACAAGAGCCTCTTCCTAAATTAAGAGTTCACTGTTACAGCAGATTCCTTACCACACTTGTATTCGTCAGTTCTTATGACTAGCAGGTCAAATGACTATATGTAACTTTTGGTGAATTTTATCTTCTGAATGTGCCTATTTTCCCTGATCTGGACCTTTTACTCCCTGCAAGCATGTAAATGTGCAAAGATCTTTTTCTGTCTTAGACTGACAATGAAAGACATAGGCATAGTTGACTAGGCATACAAATTTCAACTTCTAACATCCAGACCTAGAAAACAAAAATGAAAAAAAAGACTCCTTTTCTTTTTAATTTTACAGATACTCTATAGCCAGATAGGGGGGCCTACTACCTAGACAGTCAGAGTAAATCCTGCCTTTCAAGAGTGACTTAATCTAATGGAAAACATAGATAAACAAGCTATACAGAAGGGTAAGATCAAGAAACTCAGAAATTTGTCTGCATAAATTATTTTGAAATAGGAAAGACATTTACTGAGACTGAGCTAACATGTAAGAACTATCATATCATGCTAAACATAATAGTGTTATAAACTAAATAATGGTTATTATTTAGTGAGCATTTACTATGCCAGGCCCTGATCTAAGTATTTTACATATATGAATTAATTTAATCCTTCCAATAACCCAATGAAGTAATTATTGTAATAGCCATTTTATACATGAGGGAATCTATGATACACAGAAAAGTAACTGGTCCTAAGTCACACAACCAGTAACTACAATTATAGCTGTAGCTTTCTTGAGCCTGAGTGATAACTGGTGCTTTAAAGAGGATTAATTATTTGAATCCACCAAATAACCACCAAGCATCAGAAAGCCATTGGTTTTCATTAATGACAAATCCACAATAGAACTTTCAAAAAGTAGTACATGAAAGTAATAAACACCATCTCCATATAGGAAAAGAAAACTCTTCAATTCCTATTCCTTACTTATTTTCCTCTAATTTGCACAGTATAGAAGGCAATTCTCCCCTCTGTAAAGAGTGAACTTTTTTTTTTTTTGAGTTTTTTTTTGCTATAGGGCACATACGCTTGCCAGACAGACAGAGACAGAGAGACAAAATGAGAAATCACCACCCAGGAGGGACAGCCACGCCACAATCCCTTCTCCATTCTCCTTTTGGGATCTTGGGCATGCACACACACACACATGCCAGGCATGAGTTTAAGCCACCGGGACTCTAATTGTGGTCAACTACATGGAGTCCAGTGACACAGCCATCATACCAACTGCTGGTCCCAAGAGTGAACATTTTTTAAGGCCAGAAGTCATATGCACATGAGAGAGAGGGAGAGAGAAAACATGTGCACATGCATGCACACACCCAATGGGACACGGTCATCCTGCAATCTTATTACCTCCAATTCTACATCCCATCAGGATTCTGGGTACACACCTGCATACCTGGAGTATTTTTCAAGCCACTGGGGCCAGGACTCAAACCCTAGTCAGCCACTTGGGATCTGACTTCCTCTGCACAGTATTTAATCCCTGCACTACAGAGCTGACCCAAAGTGTGAAAGGTTTGAATGAGAAAACATTAATGTATATTTTCAAACGTACACATATTTTAATTGTTGTTATAATTTTTAATTGGGTTACACTTTTAGAAAAAAACATCACAAAGGACTTTCCTACCATAGTATACTTTTGAAACATATGCTGGCTCAGTTGAAACAACAGGTTCTGCAGGGATAGGAGGAGGACCTGTAAATGAAACAAAAACGTTAACACAACATGAAATTTCAACTTTCTAAGAAGCTGACACCTTACTGTTCAGTAATAAAACAGTAGCCCAAGAATGATTACTTTTTCTGCCGCTTCTAGGCCATTAGATACCCATTAGCTCAGTCTCAGTAAATGTCTTTCCTATTTCCAAATAATTTATGCAAACAAGTTTTTGAGTTTCCTGATCTTACCCTGCTATATAGCTTGTTCTGAAACATTCTGAAAAGTGGCTAAATGGAGTCCTATTTTAGATACGTAAGAACAATTTTCTATTTATAATAATAATGTGTAAAATATTTTAACTAATATTCTATCAGAAAATAAATGAGTGGGCCAGCAGGTGGCGGAATGTTTACATCGTTGGATTCCCACAGGCTAACCGTGGTTCAAGTCCCAGACCTAGTGACATGAAACATACTGGGTGAGTATGTATGCGTGCCCAAGATCCCGGGAGGAGAACAGAGGAAAAGGGATTGCACTATCTGTGTCTCTTTCTCTGTCTCTCTCTCTGAGGAGTGCAGGTGCTCTAAGGCAAAAATATACTTCTACCAAAAAAAATAAATAAAGGCATTAGCCTTTTTACCAGGCTATTTTCTAGACAAATGCTACATTCAAAGTTTTTAACGTGAGTCTCATTTTTTGCAATTACTATACAATTTGGTCTCCAAAGTTAGTGATTACAGGAAAAAGAAACAAGGGGGGAATGTAATACTAAACCAGAGGGACAAAAAATTAGAAAAGCTTAAGTGAAGAGGCTCTGAAATCTAAGGGTTCAATGAAAATAATCTCTCTTAAAAATCATTCATAAAGTCAAAGAAAACAAACAGAATTTTTACTTTGTATTTAATTTTGAGTAAGAAGCAGGGCTAGGACATAGTATACCTAAAGTGGGTTGATACCAGCAAAACCTGCTAATTGCTAATCTACATTTTACAAATTGATAGTGCTTAGTAAGTACTACTATTACTTGATGGTGTATTATTTATCAGACGCTGGTTAAGGACTCTTCATATATTAATCCCAATGAGAGCCATTAGAGGTATTTACTACTATTGTTCTCAACTTTCAAATGAAACTTAGGTTTAGAGGGCATATAACTTGTTTGCCAAGGAACAATTTTCCAAACTGAGCAATTAATGTAATTCTGGGTTTTTGTTTTTACACTGTTAACCTATTTGCTGTGTTGCCTTAGGCCATTATTTTCTCAACTACCATTTGCTGAATTTAACACAGGCAGCCTTTTCAAAAATTTCATTAAAAACCTCAAAACATTAAATGTAGTGTTAAGTGCATAATAAGCATCTAATAGATTACAAAGAAAAACACATTTCAGAACTTGAACTCATTAACAATCTGACAAGTTGGCGGTTTAGCAATGTAATTATATCTTTTGGTGCTCATATACAGAGAATATTTTAACAATACATCATCAGATAGCAACTGAAGAGATTATTCAAATCCTGAAACTTCTATCTTGTATTTGCCAAGTAACTCTTTATTAACATAAATCTTTCTGGTAATTTCTTCTGAAAAATGATACATTTTATAAACACTTTATAATCAAGGTTTACCTGCTGTTTCCACAAGTCTTGGTTCAGGTTCATCCAATTGTAGAAGCTCATCAAGGGCTAATTTAGCTGCATTGGATCTAGACTCCTTTTTATTTTGCCCCAGTCCAGTCTTATATTGAATACCATCCACCATGGCACAAAAAGGAAAATATGGTCCCATAACATTACCTTGAAAAAGAACTCAGAGTGAATATTACAATAATTCACAGCATATTCTTGCAAATAATGTCTTTACATACAGGAAAACAATTGGTAAAAAAAAATCCTAGAAAATTATTGATGAATACTTGAGAAACACCAACTCTTTAAATCTTTTTGGAGGGCCAATAATGGCTAAAACTAAAGCTGAGTGGGCCTCTAACCAGTTCTTGAAGATTTCTGTATAGACTGGCTCTAGATTCAGTGTAAGGGCCAGTTTTAGAATACAGATATTACATGTGGGTTACAGTATCTAGTATAATACATGGCAACAGTCAGCCCTCAAACATCTAGCTAATGAACAAGGAGAGGCAAAATGTAGAGACTTCTGGTAATGTCTCTCTTTAAAATTTCAACAGAGATGAAGTTGAATTTTCTTACACTCTTGGGCTATCCTAATACTCGTCTAAAGTTCAGAATACAAGGGTCACCCCACCTTTGAAGAAAATCTATGTACCCATTAGGGCATCATGGTAAACAACTCAATACATTATATTGGGTCATCAGGAAAGTCATGCCATATTTTTACATACAAAAACAGAAAAATAAGTCATGACTTTCCCAACCACATAATAGCTTAGGACAAAAGGAGGAGGGTGGAACACACAAGAAAAATCAAAACAAAAGCCACTACAAAAAAGATATCATGGGACCAGCAGTTAGTGTAATGGCTCTGTCGCTGAACTCCCATGTAGTTGACCGTAGTTCGAGTCCCGGACACGGTGGCTTAAACTCACGCCGGGTGCATGTGCATGCGTGCCCAATATCCTGAGAGGAGAAAGGATTGCGGCGTGGCCATCACCCCTGGGGGGTGATTTCTCGTGTTTTGTCTCTCTGTCTCTTTCTGTCTTTTGGCAAGCGCACGCACCCTATAGCAAAAACCTCTCAAAACAAACAAACAAACAAAACAACAACAAACGGTATCATATAGAATTAAACTGAGTCCAGTCATGGTGGTGTTGCAGTAGTGTGCTACCCTAGAAGGCTGGAAGCCATATGGAAAACAGGGGTTTGGTTCTCAAGGTTGACCTGTACATACCAGGTGAACATGTATGCCTGTGATCCTCTGGCTGAGTAGAAAAGGATTATGTGTGAGATTCTGTTAGGGTACTTGTCTTTCTCTCATGAAAGAGATAAACTAACTTCATTTGAAAAAATTAAACTGAATTTCCACTCATCCAAAATTCCTAGACGGATTACTTTTATGCAATTACTTTTACTTAGCTTTCATATTACCTGATTTAAAAAAATGAACAGAATCATCTCCTAAATGCACAGGTCAAAGAATGTCTTTTTCAGGTTTTATTTGTTGGTATCTGGATTTTAGGAAGCCTTCAGAAGCCTAAGTCTACGCACCTTAGTATGGACAGTTAGGTACAGTCTCACTGCACATAAGCCCCATTATCTGATTTCCTCATGTAGTCACAATCAAATTCCATGAACTATTTCATTAAGACAGACATCAAGGATTTGTAAGGAACTCCTGACTATATCTAGAGTAAACTGCTTCCCCTTCAATCATCTGAGATCTCAGTTTCTCAGGTTACTTCCTTCATGATCACCTGGGTTTGAACCCAAATTTCTAAAGAGTATTTAACTAGTGGCCCAGGTGATTCTTGTATATATATATATGTATATATATAAATAAGAGATAGTACATGTCACACAGGTCTTCTGTCAGAATGTATTGGGTCATAGGGAAAGTCATGATGTACTTTCCTGAGAAAAACTGTGTCATGACTTTTCCAACAACCCAAAAGAATCCTTAACCTTCAACATCTTTATAACCCAGATTCTCAAATTTGGTATGGATATAAATCACATGTAGAGCTTGTTAAAAATACAGATACTCTGGACTCACTAGCAAAATCTACTAAATCATATCACTCGACTGTGCTTTAAACATAAAGTGAACAACTGATAAGTCATGTTTTTGAGCAGTTTTCTTTCAAAGCAGTGAAGATTTGCCCTGATCAAGTTTTTTGTTTCTTGTACTGACCAAGAGCTACATTTCCCAAGGGCAGTCTGAGAATAATAGAAGAAAGTTAATTAGTTTTACAGTGATTAAGCCCACCTTTCACATTAAGAAAATACCACCTTCTATTTGTCACCCATTAGTTTACTGGTGTCTCATCATCAAGAATGAAACTTGGGGATTAGCAGTTGGTGTAATGGCTATGTCGCTGGACTCCCATGTAGTTGACTGTGGTTTGAGTCCTGGATCTGGTGGCTTAAATTCATGCCAGGTACATGTGCGTGCATGCCCAAGATCCCAAGGGAAAAATGGAGAAGGGACTGTGGCATGGCCATCCCCCCCGGGGGTGATTTCTCACTTTCTGTCTCTCTGTTTCTGTCTTTCTGGCGAGTGCACATGCACTACAACAACCCCCCCCGCCCCCCCAAAAAAAGAATGAAACTTGATGTGTGTATGACATCGTTATTAAAAATCTTGACAGCTTTAAATTCTTTTGTAAATATGTTAGCTTTGAGGTCCACACTGGTTTTTATTACCAAGAAAATTGAAGAAATCAAAAGAAACCGAACTACTAGTGTATGTGTACACATGCACAACAATATTTTTTAAATTATGTTTTGAGCCTCGTGGTTTTAATCAATGCCTCTTAAGAGCACTTATTTTCTTATTCCTCCACCTTCCTAAAGTTCTTCCTAATCACTGGCCATACGTGACATGATCAAAAGCTGCTTTCTGCATCTTACTGTTCTGTATTCTGGCATCCCACAGGAACACAGTAACAAAGTCTCCTGGTTTGGAGGTTTAGGGAGAATGGAGACAATTGTAACAGAAAAGCCTGCAGATAAGAGTACCAATCATGTAAGTGCTCTTTTCACATCTAATACTTGGATTTCATAAGCTAAATTTGGCCCTAATTCTTCTTAGGCATCATCAACATTGATCCTTCTCATAAAACACTCCAAGTTTAAATATTTAGGATCTCTACAAAAGTACTGTAGTACAAGTATTTATACCTCAAAATAATCCACAGTTGCTTTCAGTTCAGCTAGCCACAAACAACAAATTGAAATTTAATGATTATAAAATTTTTTGTATATGCCAACTACTTGCAGAAGCTAAAAGGCTAAAGTGATATGAACATAAGAATCTGTCAAAACATTGGGGACCATCAAGTGGCATGGTGGTGAAGGAGCTGAACACTCCCACATGGCCTACAACGGTTCGAGTCCCGGACCTGGTGGCTTTCTCACGTTCCCTCTCTCTGGTCAAATTAAAATGAATGAATGAATAAATAATTCTTTTAAAGAAAAAGATCTGTCAAAACATACTAGTAGTTACATAACTCCAATGTAACAGGAAATAACCAAATTAACCACCATATATATACTCTTGTTTTAATAGGAAATTACTTTTCAGTACTATAAAAATTACGCAGAACAACTCTGTACTTGCCTGTTGTTACAGTTTCCTTAAGGTCAAGCTGAACCCGCTGCATTTGTGCAAACTGGTGTAAGGCTGACACAGGATTTATCTCTCCACGTTTATATTTCATTATAAATTCCTTAGGTATTTTTTTTGGAGGAAGAACAGGATTTGAAACAGATGAAATACCTTTGGAAAGTAATGGCTCTGGAAAATTACCTAAAAATAAATGATTATGCTTGTCAGTTTGGCTAATTTTTAAAAAAATTAGCAAAAACACTAAATTCTCCCAGAAAATGAAATCTTGACCCAGATGCACATAGTCATAATGTATTTTTCACAAGTTTCTATTAAAAATTTTTGCCACACATGACAAACATGTTACTGCATGTATCTTTCATAGTACTATTTTAGAAAGAAGTGATATAAATCATAGAATTGTACTGATATCAAGGTCTTCAGAGACCATTTTTACAGATGACGTCATTAAGGCCCAGAACGGAGAAAGATAGATTGGAGAACAGAACCTAGTTTCTGGCTCCCATTCACAATTTTATATTGCCTTTCCACACCAAAATCCAAAATAAGTTCTTTAAGTTTATTTCTTCCATGAGGCAGAGATACAAAAAAAGAAATAGGCACCAGGTGGTGTAGAGGTTAAGGCAGCTGGATCCCACATAGCTGATGGTATGGTTCAAGTCATGGATCTGGTGGCCTGAAAAACACACCCGGCTCATGTGTCTACATGCCCAAAATCCCCAGAGAAGAGTGGAGGAGAAGGGATTGCAGAGTGGTCGTTTCTCCCCCAGGGAAGTGCTTTCTCATTTTAAGTCTCCGGCAAGCACATGTGCCATACAACAAATTAAAACAAAACAAACAAAAAAAAACAGGCACCTCCAACAGGGTGTGATCCATCTCCAGCCTCAGACAGCTGAAATCATCACGTACAGGGAAACCCCCTAGGACTGAATCCTAGACTCTCCTATGAGGCTTCAACATCACACACTGCTACATTGCCATTGGCCACCACCGGCTGCCTTAGTGTCTTTAAAGTATGTTTGGGAACCAGTAGGAGGCATAATGGTTACCTCACTGGACTCCCATGTGTTCTACCATCCAAGTGCTGGATCTCACAGCTTAAAACTCACTCCAGGATTGTGTGCGAGCATACCCAAAATCCCAAGGGGAGAATAGAGGAGAAGGGATTACCGGGCAGCCATCCCCCTGGGGGAGGGTTGACTTCTGTCTTTTGTCTCTTTCTCACAAAACACATAGATACCCTGTGGCAGGGATCTATTTTTAAAAAAAAAAAAAAAAAAAAAAAAAGTATGTTTGCCCTGCTTTGTACCTTACACTGATTAATATGTGTAATAACAAACCACTCTAAAGTCCAGTTCCTTCCTTAAGGTTTCACCTTTTGAGTGATGTTCTAAAGACATACTTGAAGTGGTTCAATAATCAAGATGGTAACACACTGTTAAGTGAGCAGATTGGGAATGGAGTTCTATCAGCCTCCTGCAGACTTGGGAGTCAGCTTAGGCTCCAGATGGGGCATGGCCACTGGTAAATGTGGAAACACTGAAATCAAAGGCTCAATACTAACTGGCCCTCCCCAAATCAAACAGAACTGAGGCTTTATTACACATGAATAGGAAGTCTTACCTGTCACTTGTGTAACCTTGGATGCCATATTTGACAAGCTGTAACTTTCTGAGGAATATACTTTGGGTGTAGTTACCCTCTGGGTTGATGGCTGAACTGGCAAGTTCTTTTTAAGCATTTGAGCAAAGCTAGGGACCCGAGGACTCTGAAACCAATCATTGTTACCAGACATTTTCTCACCTAAAGAGCATGATAAAAATTGGAAAGAAACGGAAAAGCAAAATATTAGGTATACTAAAAATACTCTGAGGAAAAAAAATAATCCTATGTTTCTGCAAATAATGTTCACAAGTGCACTCAACACTAGAGACAAATCCTTCCTTAACTGACCTCGGGACCCACTTGGTGTCTTGAGACTGGGAGCTCTCGTCTCCTGAATTCCCTCCCCACGCTCAGCTACAAAAAGAGCTGGGCCAGCAGCCCCTGGAAAACTCTTAAATTCACCCAGGGATCTGGGGAGACTTCAGTAAGGTTACGAAGTAAGAGAACAAGCAAAGGCAGAGTCAGCAGCCCGCCAGGCAGCGGCCTCCTGGCCCGGCCTAACTCCCACCCACCCAAGTCGTCCTTCGTGCCCTCTCCGCG